AGAGTAGTTTTCTTTATATGAAAACCAAATGTAAATAGTACAATTTACCACTTAGCAGTATTTTGAATTATAAAATGACAAATATTATAATTCTAAATTAAGTTGTTGAACTATTTTTTTTAAAAAAAAAAAGATAAAACAAATTTAAAAAAAATACTTAATTTTTCTTTCAATATAATTAGTTAAATTATCGGCCAATCTTATCAATATGGAGCCTAAAGCTAACATCCTCTCATTTCAATTTATTTATCAGTTTTCATTAAAATATCTCTCTTTGATGGAAATAATTATAGAGTTTGACAAAAACTAATGACTTACCAAGACTATCGAAATATATTTTTAGTTGTAACAACAGTGTTTGTGATCATTCATTAATAAAAAAAAAAGGACACAAAAATGAATTAAAAAAAACTTTATTTTTTCTTGCTAATAAAAAATAACCTTAGTTGATTGACTTAGTGTATATAGTAGTCTCATATACCAAGAGTTAAGTTGTACAGACACGGAACACAGGATACGAGATGCAGGAACGTACGAGATACGATTATTTTTAAAAAAGTATGACATCCACACGCGCATGACACATTACACTAAATAAGTCTAATACATTAATATTTTAAATAAATAAATAATCATTTACAATAAATTATAAACATAATATAAAAAATAATTAATTTGTTATTTCAATATAATTAGTTAAATTCCCAAAATCACTATTACTATTTAAAAATAAATTAATAGTGTGTATATTTTTTTATACAGGTTATACCATGTATAACTTTTACTTTTACATATCATAGTGAAATGCTTTAGAGGATACTTAAAAAGACACATCTTAGCATTCCAACATTTTCTGCATATCTTAATGAGATATAATTTTGATTACGATCATTTTTGAATGATGTTATTTCATTATTTAATATTGTTTCATACATCGCGCGGGTTCTAATACCAGTAAGTTTTTAATACAAGAATAAATGTAATTAAAAATAGGTTGGTTAATATATGTGACAATAATAGTGACCTTGTTTTGTTTATTTCAAGATTTAGCTAATTATAATAGTGGCATATTTGTTGGAAGAAATACACATTAAATAGAGATAAAATAATAAACTACAAAAATTATTATTTTTTTGAAAAATATTATAATTTGAAACAAGTGAAAAAGAAAAGTAGATAATGAGTGTATCTATTTTAGTTTTTTTTAAATATTAAAAAAAAAAACTAAGCAGTGAATAGTCATCATTTTAAAATATTTGACATTTGAACTTACAAATAATATAATTATATAACTTATTTAAATGATATGAAATTATATATAATTATTATGCAATACAAACTAAGCAATGCAGAGAAATTTTTCATTAAAAATTAAACTAAATTATTTAGCATTTAAAAGTTTTTATAGATATAAAACATTTTGGTGCGATTTGCACAATTTTAAATATAAAACCATAAATTTAACTAAAACCTAAATCTTTAAATTTTACAAATCAAATCACTAACTTTTAAAATCACAATTTAACATCGGTTTGATTTGATTTGAACCGGTGTTATGCGGTTCTGCAAAATAGTTAAAATAATTTTTTCAAATCGCAACTAATTATTTATTTCTTGTATTGATGTGCTAATACAGCTGGTGTAGACAAGTGTGTTCGCTCTTAAAATTGAATTAATATGGACAACTGTCCACTGCCTTCTTAAATTGAACGTGCGGAGTATCTATTGGGTGCGTGTGCCGAGCGCAAGGAGGCGCCTTGAGAATGCGTGTTAGCGTGAGCGCAACCGCAAAGTTTGACGTGTTAATATGTGGACTTTTTAATTTATGCACTTTTTTTTTTTTTTTTTTGCCTGGATCTTTTTAATTTATGGCACTTTTTTTTTTTTTTCACTTTTTTTTTTTTTTTTTTGAAAAAAATGGCTACCGGATAAGTTATCCTGTTTGATATATTCAAAGCTTTTGTTCTCACAATTGGAAACCTCCAAGTAATTGAATCTATCTGTTATCCTATTAGCCACCTCGACAAATTCGCTTTTGGGCTCATTGTATCAATTATTAATTTAGAGCTTATTTATTATATCTCTCTCATTTTATAAGAAATTAATTATGCTGTTAAAAAAAATTAATACCGATTAGGAGTGTGGTATTATTGATCTTCTCATTTATACGAAGTGAGAGGTTTCGAGTTCGAGTTCTCCCGATTATAAGTGTTTTTACCAATTTGGTTAATTCAGAGGAATGTTATTTATATTGTGTAGCTCACAGTATTAACTTGACCCGTTAAGCCTTTCAATAAATAAAAAAAAAATAAATTAATTATGCAATTTGAAGGTCTCCCTCTAAATGGTATTATTGATTATAAATGTCAATAGGAATTATGAATTTTATGATTTTAAATCAATTCAGCAGTCCATACGTCTGATTTAGCAATCAATTTCGAATTATTTAAATTGAACTGATTGTGATATGTTTCGAAAAATTTTAAAAAATTAAAAAATTTTTTATTTTTGAAGCCTAATTTCATTGTTTTAACTTTCTCTTTTCCGTATAAAAATTTAATAAACTATTATTTAACTTTAAAAAATGGAGTTTTTAAGGGATAAACTAAAAACTTATATTTCTGAACTTTGATTCTTTCGTGGAATGAAAGCTTCAACTCAACATGAAAATGGGAAAGCTTCAAAATATTTTTTGAAGTAAAAAAAAAAAAAAAAAAAATCATAAAAAAAAAATCATATCAGCCAAACGGAATAAGGATTTACTTGACAACAACATTATTCTATTAATTACATCTTTCGGTAATATAATATTTATATTAACATTTAGAAATTAGGCATCGTTTCATTAAATGTTAAATCTCCAAACATTTAGCGTTTCACATGTCATTTTTAATTATTCTATTTTGTTATTTCTTATTACCTTAAAATAAAAATTACAAGAAATAATTTTTTAGTTTTTTCATTTCAATTCTATAAGAAATAATCTTTTGCTATAAAAAAAAAAATGATAATAATTTAGAAAAGAAAAAAAACACTTGCTACTCTATATATATATATATATATATCAATTTTTAAAGTCAACATTTCAATGTCATTTTTTGTCATTTGATTTATAACAGCTAATCAAACAGTTATTTTTTTAGCAAACACTTTTATTTTAACTACTATATAAATAACTAATGGTTAACGGCTCCTAAAACAACTAACAACTTCTATAACAACTAGTGCCGTGGATAGACCCTAAATAAGATAGCTTTACATTTGTATATATTTACATGACAAAATATATAAACCATAAACCATCGGGAGGGACCTGATTATTATAAGGGTTTGTTGTGGCCAAACAGAAACCGCTACTTTATTTTAGTATAGTCAACGATAATTTAATGGGCCACGCAACTATCATAACTAATAAGCATCAAAGCCATAAATAATGGAGTAATAATAATAATAATAATTTCTCTATAAATACTGTATATAAATATATAAAAAAAGTGAAACATAATGAGATTTCTTAAAATATTGAAATTTGCACTAACATACATAATAGTATTTCATGATTAAAAATTTAACTTAAAAAATTTTTAACTTAAAAAATATAAAAATTTTTTTGATTTAATTGTAATTTAATTAAAAGGTTTTAATCAGGAGAACAATAAGGAAAAAGAAAAAATAATAAAAGTTTAAATTTAATATTTCATCGTCATTTAAGATATTTTAAATAGTAATTAGAAATATCTAATTTAAAAATATATATTATTTAATTATAATATTTGATTATAATTTAAAAGATTCTAAATTATAATTTAAAAGATACTAAGGTGATTGAGTACAAAATTTTAACAAAGATATTTAATAATTATATTTTTAAAATATTTGATATGGTGAACAAAAATTTTAAGTATAACGAATATATATAATACAATTAAATAATTTTAATTAGGAGAGAAATAAGAAAAAAAATTAAAAAAATCAAATAAATAAAAATTCATATATTAATATTTGATTGTAATTTAAAATATTTAATTAAAAATTTTAATTTAAATACCAGTTAAAATATATAATTAATATTTTGGATTATAATTTAAAGGTTTTTAATTAGGAGCAAGAATAATATATATATATATTATATATATATATATATATATTATATGTGTGTGTGTGTGTGAATGTGTGTGTGCTGTATAATTTAATTTCAAATATTTAAATTAGGAAAAATACAAGAATGGAAAAAAAAACTTATTTAAATATTTGATTATAAATTATCTAATATAAATTTTAAACTAGGGAAAAGGGATGAGAAATATGTATATTATATATATAATATATATATATATATATATATATTGCCTTTTTTAAAATTATATATTGCCTTTTAAAATTGTTTGGCTAGATAAAAAATGAATATGTTATTAATTCTTAAATATATGGAGAAATTTGTATACGTACACGTATATACATTACAACGTACTTATTGAGTAGCATTGTGGTACTATGTGCTGTTAAAGTGCAATGTAGATACATGTTAGATTTATAAATTGAATTAAAGTACATATATATAAAATATGATTATTTAGTCATTTTATTTACGTTATATAAAAATCTAAAAAAATATGAAAAAAATTATAACAAATCTTAATATTATAACAAATAATAATGAACGAGCATAATGAGTAAAAAACAAATAACGACAACTTGCAATATGTGTTATAAAAGCACTAATATATATAAAAACTGAAACAAAGAGGAAACATTAAAATAGATAAAAAAAGTGCATTTAAACTATAATATTAAATTACTAATATTTAAACTCATTTATTATGATAATTACTAGTCATATTTATATTTAATATTAAAAATTTAAAAAAAATCATGGTTAAACATTAAAATTAAAAAATTAAAATCAATTATTAGAGCTTTTAGTATTCTTCAAACACAGAAAGAGAAAAAAACTGTTTAACAGTATTACTTTATTTTGAAAATATCCGAATTTTCAATTTTCCGTTAACCCTCTCAGCCAAAACGCTATCCTCACCAACCCACCTTCTTTGTCTCCCTCAAAGTCTTTCCCTGTAAAACCTCTCCACAAAAAGCACAAACAGAGAGTGACAAAGAGGAGAGAGAGAGAGGCCATGGAGAGGCTTCTATACTCTTCTTCTCCAACTTCTATCAAACTCAACCTCAAACCCTGTCCCTTTCTTCCTAGACTCGGGCGAATCGACTCCCCTAAACTCGGCTTCCTCCCTTTTCCACGCCTTGAGTCCAGGCGAGTCAACTCAGTCTCCTGCAAACATGAGAACCCATCTAGGCCTTCTGCTAAACTTCCATCTCTTCCTTCTCTCCGGGCTTATTCTCCAATTGAGTCGATGCCAAAATCTCATTCTCCCAAACAGATCGCAAATGGAGCTCCTATACAACCAAAGGTATTGATCTTTAAGCAAATTGTCTTTGGGGTTTTTTTTTTTTTTTTTTTTTTTTTTTTTTTTTTTTTTTTTTTTTTTTTTTTTTTTTCCGGTTTAGTTATGTTTTTATGTTTGTTTTTTTTTTTTTTTTTTTTTTTTTTTTTTTTTTTTTTCCGGTTTAGTTATGTTTTTATGTTGTTTTATTATAGTTTACTTATTGTGGCTTAACGTTCAATTGCGGCTGCTTGAGGACTGCTTAATTGGTTACGAATCAGATGGCAATGAAAGAATTTTTTTTTAATGTTTTATGATTTGAAAGTTTTAGAATATAATTACCCATATTCTGCTTAATCTGATTTTGAAACAAATAAATGATGTCCTTTTATGTATTCTTCAAGAATGGTGCTGATTGGAAGATTTGGAAGCTATTAGGATATCATTGGAGAATTGGAATTGCCCATAATTTAATAATTTCATTGCATTTCATGTGAAATTGGATGCTAGGGAAATGCCATGGTGTGAGTACTTCAGTCAACTTGGATTGCTGATTTTCAAGTGCCCAATCTTTGTGAACAATTCATTTCAAAATCTTTCGTGTATTTACATTTGTATGCTAATAAAGAAATGCATGGGTATTTGGAAGAAGGGGAGGCACTTTAGAGTATATTTACTAAGTACCGAACATCTGCTAATGCTGGGAGTCGGAGGTAATTGATTATGATATCAAATCCTTAAAACAATTAAAAATGGAGAATGGTAGATGGAACTTTACTATTTTGAACATCGTGAAAATAGTCTATTGTCTCAATCAGAACTCAAGAAGTTCAGGTTGTGTGTTCATTTTGAATCACCATATGTTTGGTCAGTTATGAAATTTTTTTTCTCCCGTTTCTCCAAAGTTTCTGTTTCAAAAAGTTTATGGTTTTATGAAGAACAAGTTCCATAACATTCAGCTCTTTTAGAGCCATGAGGTTGTTACTCTTGTATCAATAATCAATGATATCCCATCTTCCTACATTGATTCATGGGTAGAGGAACCATGTATTCTTAATTGTCTACTCAGGTCCTAGTTATTTGGTCGCTCAAGTTCAATTTCTCGTGAAGCTGCATCTCAGATGTTCTTTCTTGGTCATTCCTAACCCAGCCACTCCATCTATTTCCTTGATTTGTATTCTTTTAAAAATTATGTTCGATAAGGCATTAAAAAAGGAATTAATAGCCGTTTCTACTTTTGCCTAATGTCAACATCAAATTTTATTTTAATTTTTTTTTCATGTATATCGAATTTACTTATTTTGATGTAGATGAATTTATGGTAGCCTGGATGTGTTCTTCTTTATCTATGGGTGATCTATCCTTACCTGTCTTCCATTTGATAGATCTTTTACAACTCAAATTAGTTTTTATTTTCTAAAGTTTCAGTGAAAGAATAGCTTGAAGCATTTGTGAGGTTCCTCAGGTTCAAATTTTGTTGGATTTTTTTTTATCTATCTCAGGATTCCACCATGGTGTATGGGTGACATTGAATTATTTGTATAATGTTATACTGCCTTGAAGTTTGGCTATTTCTTCAAGGCAAAGTTTGGCTACTTTTTCATAACATATAATGACTCATCTTTTCATTTTTCTTCTTTTTCTTTGCTTGAATGTGTAGTCCTTTGAAATGGTTAAGCAAGGTGCTTAAATTTGGTTCAGTGTGCATACATCCTTAAACAACTAGTAGAGGCACTAACTGTCAAAAATATAAGAAAACTTTATGCATATGTAAGTGTCATAAAATATGAAGCAAATTGAATACACAATAAACATTCAAAACATTGTTTAAGAAGTTTTAGTTGTCTTTCATGGTCTAGTTGTTTTAGCACTGGTTCCAGTTCATTTTGAAAAGCTTATTAAATATCTTATTATCTTAAATTTGCAGGCAGTTAATCTTGGGACGTTTGTAGTAATCTCAGCTGCCATCATGTTCTTAATCCATCCAATTTTTGCTTCACCAGCATTTGCAACCTTCCAAACTGCTGCCAAGACTGGGGGTCCTGCTGCTGCTGCTGCAGTTGGCGCAAAATTGATGCGTACTGAATTGTTATCTAGTGCTTGGACTGGTTTCCTTGCCGGTTGTTTACATACACTATCAGGGCCAGACCACCTTGCGGCCTTGGCTCCACTCTCAATTGGTCGTTCACGAATGGAAAGCGCTGTTGTTGGAGCTCTTTGGGGCTGTGGCCATGATGCTGGTCAGGTAATATTTGGCTTGTTGTTTTTATTGTTGAAGGATCGGCTCCACATTGAGGTTATCAGAACTTGGGGCACGAGGGTAGTTGGATTTACACTACTAGTTATAGGTGCTATGGGAATTAGGGAAGCTTCAGAAGTCCCAACCCCATGTGTTGCCCTTGAAAATGGTGAGTGTGATGTTAGTGTTTATGAAGCACTACAGAGCCCGACAGTGGGAAAGAAGAAGATTGGTTTTGCGACTTTTGCCACTGGGATTGTCCATGGGTTGCAACCAGATGCATTGATGATGGTCTTACCTGCACTTGCATTACCTTCGCGGTTGGCTGGTGCTGCATTTCTTATAATGTTCCTCCTTGGGACTGTTGTCGCAATGGGAAGCTATACAGTATTTATAGGCTCATGTAGTCAGGCGTTAAAGGATCGGGTACCTCGAATTACTGAGAAACTTACTTGGATTTCTTCTCTCGTAGCAATTGCTCTAGGCCTGGCCATTATCATTAGCCAGTTTTTCGGATTTAGCTTGTATTGATCCATCTAACACGACATCAAGATTCACATTTGCAAGCCAGCATTTTAGTGTTAGAGAAAGATCTTTAGAAACAAATAGTCAAATTTATTTCCCATAAAAAAACATCTGCGCAGCATCTTATCTCCGTAAGAGTCATCTTTACTTCCTTTTTTCTCTCTCGCTTCTGAAGATTGTAATTTTTGATATAAAAGTGAAACTTGTCTTTTTAGAAGTCAGTAATCCGTTCTTGGTAGAATTTAAGTCGAACACTTTGCTATTACTCATATGCCAGAACTTAAATTATTTGATGCATATACTTTTCTAGTACAGTTCTCTTCATAGACATCATACCTTTGTATGTGAAACAATGGCATTCTGACTGTTGCAGGATTCATCATGAATGACTGCCAAAACAAACTTATTTTTTTGTTTTTTGTTTTTTTTTTTCATGATAATTCCCTAGAAACCTTTAATAATACATTTTAAAGAAATTATTCACTTTAATAATACGTTTAACAGTTTAATTTTTAAAGATTACGAGTTCCTTTGTTATAACTAAACACACATCAGGACCTTAATGCACACATCAAATACCTTTATTTTTCTGATGATCTTTTCTTGTTTTGACTGTTAATCAACTATAATTTAGAAAGAAAAAAAAAAAAAAAGATGCCTACAAAATTGCCCTCGTTTCCCCTCAATAGGTAAAATTAGACCTCTTTTCTCTCTCAGCTCTGTATTTTTTATCCTTTCTAACCTCAAACACCACACAAGATTTCAAGTATTGCCATCATCAACAATGTTTAAATGTTCTAGTCAATAACCATCTCGTGCATAATAATGAATAAACAATTAAATACTCAACAAATCATTAAGACCAAAACCAAAAAGGGAAAAGGAAAGTCCAGAAATCTAAGTTTACAATTTCATCATCTCGTTATTGTATCATCACTCATTGCGGTCGAGCTACATAACCCATGGACACAGAAGATGAAAAGAGAAGAGAGAGTCAAATGGGTCATTGTATTCCATTGAATTAATAACTGAAATTAGTTCTTCCATTTTCCACTTTCGAGATTCCAACTTCAAGGCTGAAGCGTAGGCTACTGATGCTGAATGTAGAACACTGAAATCCAGTAAACGAGTTAAGCCTTCTCCTTTTTATTGATGTCATACAGAACACAAATATCCGCTGCTGTCTTCATCTGAAATCACCAAATGAATTCTATAACAATCAAAATAACTGAACAAATTATCCAGTTAACAATAACTGAAAATGAAGTTTTCTCTACAAATCCACAAGCTAAATCCATGGCAGTGACTAGATAAAATCGGGCAATTTTGTGGTTTTAACTACATATAATATCTAAATTGTCTCATTCCAGAATAATCGACTTATAAGTTGGCTTCTAATTTTCAATCTGAATTCCAAGAGATAAAAGAAACACTCAAAAAATTTTGGTTCAAGATCTGGAAATGTACTCCATTATTATATTTTTCCATAAAGTAAATTTTTGCACCTCAAAAAATGTATTTCAGGAATCCAAAGTGCCATTCTATCAATTTAAGAGCGTGCACAAGAATGTCAACATCTATCAGCATACTAAAGTTTTTGATTGTAAAGAAGATAATTGGTTAAAGGTATTAGTCACTACCTGTATGATATTTACAATTTGCTTGATGGCCCATCCAAACAAACTTAAGCCAAGTAGGAAAGAGATGAGTGACCACTCCTTTATAGACCTCATTAAAACCTGGAAAAGGAAAAAGAAAAAAAAAAAAAAAAAAAAAAAAAACCTGGAAAAAGCGAAAAAGAAAAAAAAAAAAAAAAAAAAAAGAAAATCAGAAACCAAGAAAAATCTACATAAAAAAAAAAAAAAAAAAAAAAAAAAAAGAAAATCAGAAACCAAAGAAAAATCCTACATACAAGCTGAGCGGAAAATTTTATGCTTGCTAAATAATGACTTACATCCATCAAGTTTTCATTCTCTTTTTCTGCAACAAGAAATAAGATTATATAAAGAACCTGCAGGATTAACAGAGTCAGATAAAGAGAACAATAGTAATCAATAAAGAATGTACTAAGTAAATGGATGGACCAAAGTTATAATTACCTCACATGCCGCACAGCAGTAAGCCATGAATGTCCGGTTTCCATAGTAAGCCCTGAAAAGCCAATTAGTGCTGTCTTTGACATCTTTATGGCTAGCTTTGCCTAACAAGAATGTACTGCAATTAAAGTATCAACGATCCAGCAAATAGACAACAAATTCAACTTAAGGAGTAAACATCAATATTTAACCAGCAAGCAGATCCATGTGGGACCATGTCTAAAATAATAGATTATACATGTTAATGAAGAAAAGTTACCTGTACATCTGCAGCCAATGACTAGCGATATCTAGAGCAAGCAATGACACAAAAACCAAGCCAGGTCTACATAAAACAAAGTCAACCAAAAGAGATCATATAGACATGTATATGCTTTCTTGCAGTTGTGTGAATGAAATAAATGAGAAATTTCTTACCTGTATACTTGGGAAAGTATTACTAGTAAACAAGCAGTGCTAATCCTAAATAAACAACATGTTAATCAAATCAGCTATAAATCAAATGAGTATTGAAAAAGATAAATTCCAATAGGAAAATGTGACTATTAAGAGAGAGAATTTCACCTATCAGTTACCATGTCCAAAACAGCTCCAAAAGTTGATACTGACAAGGGGAAAGATGAATGAGACTTGACCATAGTAATTAATTCCTAAGCAAATATCAGTTTCTGCTGAAAATAGATGAACCATCTGGAAACAGGGAGTAGCAGTTTGTGGATATATCATTTATTAGTGCCCTAACACGAGGCCTCCTCTAGTAAAATCCAGTAATCTTTTAGGTAAAAGACCTCTAATTACTAAAGATGAGTATTCTAATATCCTCAAACTGGCTGCAAATTTAGCTGAATGTATCTATGACAATGCAATATTAATTCAAATAATATTCACCAACACAAAGTCTCAAGTTTTTTTGTTGAAAAATAAAACACAATGGCCCACTCACAATAATTAGCATATCTAGCTAACCAAAGAGCTTTCTAAACAATCAATTTGATAGTTAATTTGAAAACTTCAACAAGCTCAACCACTATAGTGTCACAAATAAAAGACACCAGTATACTAATTCAATCGACACCAATTTTTTAATCACACAGACCATACTTTAGGAATTTCATAATATAGTTATTAAACTCCACTACATGGAGGTTTTGTACAAGAACATCGATTTGAGAGACTTACATCCCCCGTAACATTAAAATTGAAACTTCATGGTCTAAAATGTTCATAACAGTAGGAGTAAAGAGTTTTTCATGCCAGAACCAGAAGGTTTTGGTGTTTCAGTAGTCAGCTCACCTAAATTTCATATGAGAGGCAATAAAAAGATTAGGAAAGAACCCGTACCTTGATTGAATTTACGGGCACACCAACCATCAATGCCATCACAAACAAAGCTGAAATTGAAATAAATCAATCATATTAGATTCCCATTTCTGCACACCTAGAAAATGACGAGGATCACAATCTGAAAGAAACTTCATTGAATGGTACGTCTCACCTAATAAAATAAAGAAGGCAGAAAAGCCTTTTGTTGGAAAAACATATAGCAAAGGCAAAGCAATTCATGAGAATCCTTGTGTACCCTGCATTTGCATAGCATCCTTAATGAGAAAATAAAATATAAATAAATTATTCATATACACACATCAAATATTCCTATTAATGTGAATTGCTGCTCTTAGTTCACAAAACAATGAAATATTGATAAAATAATAAATAAATTTAAAAAAAAAAACAAGAGATTAAAAAATGGGAGAAAACGAGAAAACCAACCAACAATATTAGGTATGTAAAGGTACACAGCTAATTTGCTGGGTTTTGTTCTTGACTTGTTGGCCATTCAAGCTTCTATGCAGATTAAAACTGCAAGAGAAAACACAAAGACATAAACATAAATCAACACATAAAATTCTCAGAAAATTAAATTAACCCAAGATCTCGCTAAATCAGAGAGAACCCACGAAGGTAACTGACGAGGCAAGATCTGGGGCTTGAAAAGAAACCCAGTTGAAGAAAAAAGAAACGATCGATTCAGTGCAATAGATAGAGAGAAAATAACCTGAAAAAGCAAAGAAGAATCAAAAAAACCCAAAGAATTTGTATTCTCAGTTTGGTTATTTTCTTTCAGCGCCGCTTCTCATAACACGCTAAGATGGATCAATCCACAAAAATAGAATTATTTACTTTATTTCATTGATACTTCAGAATATATGCTGCTAACTTTAAGTTTTATATATTCAAATTTTTATTTTTTGTACAAAACAATCTCAACCCACTTGTTATTTTTTAATATTTATTTAAAATTTGAATATTTATACAGTAAATGAACACTGGCCTCTCCCATTAACAGTTCACCACCAAAAACAATCAATATAAAGCTATGATCGAAGCCCACTCTTACCGGCGTTGTATTAATGTGGACTGTTAAGCTCCTTTATAGCCCTAAGCAATCAAAACCTTCATAATTATCCAGTTATAATGATGCATCGCCTCTGCGATTCAATAATTTCTGAAGCTATCAATTCAACTCAATTTCACTATACAAAATAATCCGAACAAAAAAAAAAAGAGCTTTCAAAATCAAAAAAAGAAACCTATAGGAAAACTTACTGAATGGTTGCTGCGAGAGGTCGGAGACGGTTGCCGAGGCTATGGTAGCGTTATCGAGTATGGTTGGGGTTTTGGGTACTAGAGAAAGAAAGAACACGACAGGAGAATTATTAGAGAAGAGTAGAAGGGATGAGCGCCTGAACGGTCGCGGAGAATAATGTCGTTTCAGGCAGGTAATGTCGTTTATAAGTACAGAAAGGTGTTCAAGTGGGTTAGGCTGGGTTAAATACATCCCCAGGCCCTCAACTTTAGAAATATTTATTATTAATATTTTAACTAACACTATGTGATAAATGAATTCAAAAATGTGAAATTCATATAAATGAATTTCGATGTTTAGAAAAAATTTAAAATTTGAAAATTTATTTGTTTTTATTCCTAAAATGCTTTAGTATAATAAATTTATAAGAGTATAGGAGGATGAGAAATTTTGTTATAAAGTTTTGAGTTATTTAAGTTTATGGAATTCATTTAAAAATTTCATATTTTTTAGTAGAATTTAATTTAATTATGTTTCAAATCCATAGAATTGAATTGTTTAATTTTTTTATATTAAACACAAAAATTTATATTTATAAATGAATGCTTAAAATTTTATGAAATTCATATATTCTAATACTACAAAAAAAATTAATTTTCGCGACGATATAATCCGTCACAAATTTGCAACTATTTTGCTTACCCAGTGCATCATGTTTATAATTAGAAAGATAAGAATTATATTGGGACAGAATTGTGACTAAATTGCAACCATTTATGTGACCGATTTGTAATGAGTCATTGTTTTTTGCGATATTCTTTGCCGAGCTGTTATGTGATTGATTTTGCGACGAGTTTATAATGGAATTTTATTTTTTGCCTACGATGTGTATCAGCTGTTATATTATTAATTTTATTTTCAGAGTCAGTGACTCATTTTAAAACAATTGTGACCGACCGGTCCCAATTTACCTTTATTAAAAGAAGTGCAATGTTAGATTATTAGTTATTAAAATAGTTATTATTATTATTATTTTTGTTTTTAAAAAATGATGGTTATTATTAGTTATATTATCCGTATTTGAATTTTACTTGTACACCAATCTTATAACTTAAATAAAAATATAAATATTGTAGATCAGTGCGAAGTGCGAGGTACTACCTAGTACTAAATATAATTGAAGCTAATTAAGTATCCCAAATTAATTTATTATTATTGCTAATGACAAGTATTAACATATAAGGAAATTAAAGTAATACATAATTAAATATAATTATTTTTATTGACTTTCTTCTCTTTAATTTTTGGTCAAGCAATAGTGGGAGAACACCTCCAAAGTTTCCTAGATGTTTTGATTATAGTTTTTATAATAACTAGAGACAGCGCAATGCGCGGGTTACTCTGTTAAAGTGCTTTTCTTTCTTCTTTTCTCTCTTTCTGCATATACTTACATCTAGTTATATATACACATAAAAATAAAGGCCAGATGAAAAATGATTTTTGCTGTTTCTAAATTGAATAGCAGTTGGCCGTTGATGTAGAAAGAAGAGTTTGTTTGTCGTAATCTATGTTTCAGCATTTTACACGACCAGCACAGCAGCACTTTGAAAAATAAAAGATTGAACCATCAAAAGTAAAATATGAAACCTGTTATGTTATCTGAACTGTAGAAAATAAATGCAAAAGCAGTAATTCATGCCTTCCCAAAAGCAAAACAAAATAATAGCTGCTGCTGTGGAAAACAAAATTAAGGAACATGAAACTTTAAGTGCTTTAAAAGTAAATTTTAAGCAAAGAACACAATTAAATAGCTCCTTAGCATTTAAAGATCCCGGAGAAAAATCAATCGATAAACAAACAGAGAAAGAAGAAACAAAAAAATTATGGCGAGACCCTGAAAATATATCAAAGCATTTCAATTTCAATGCGGATATTATATATAAGTCATCGGAATCATATATCGAAAAGGGGAAAACTAATCATTAGAGGCGCTTTTTGGTGGAATGGCTGGAGATTTGGAAGAACTCCAGGGTTTAAGCGTGCTCGCTTAATAGAAATTTCAGGATGGGTGACCTCCTGGGAAGTTTCAGCTTCCGTGACATCTAAATATCGGATATAAGTGTTCCGAGGGATGGTGACCTCCTGGGGAAGTCTTTGTGTCATTTTTACCAGAAAACAAACCAAATTCTTATGGTCATGCTACCGTAGAGATTTAGAGATTGTGCGTGACGTATAATATTGAGGTTTGTGTGCGATCATTCTAGAAGTCTATACAGAGATGTAGTAAGGCAAAAAAAGAAAAACGAATACAAGACAGCAGTGATCCGACTATTGTTTATTGTAATAGAAAAAAAAAAAAAAAAAACAATACCACACAAGTGTTATTTTCTTTGTTAGTTTTATTAGCTATAAATGGTTAGGCATTAATTCACGTACTCCTTACATTATGATTATCCTTATTGATTAATTTTGAATTAGTACAAATATAACAGTTGCTTAGGATCTTAATTTGGTTCATGATTATAACTTTTTTTTTTTTTAACTCTTTAATGCTTATTTTTTTGAATTCTTACATATTTTTGAAATAGATAGAGGAACTTGATTATTATTATTTTTTCATTCTAGTATTACAATTATCTATCATTATTATGACAGTGAAAAAGAATAAATATTAAAAACCAAGTTGATTAAGAGGAAAATGGGCGTTGATCCAATCTATGAACTGTATGGAGAAGAGGAGGAGACACTGTTACATTCGCTTGTTAAATGTCCAGTGGCTCAACAGGTCCAGATACTCAGTTTACTTTGTCTCCAGCTTGCTACTAGTAAAATTTATCATTTTTTATAGTTGTATTCTTATCCTTATCCCTTATTCAAAATACTCCTATAATTTGTATAAAGGCAAAACCTCCATTACAAAAAATATACAGATTACAATTCAAATCATTCTATTGTATTTAAACTTTACATGGTATCAGAGCCTCTCATCTAACCCATATTTCTTCTAATGGCACTCATTCCTTCTTCTTCTTCCCTCTCCACGCCCACCATGACTGCATCCCATTCTTTTTTTTTTTTTTTTTTTTTTTTTTTTATCAAACTCAATTGCAAAAAATTATCTCTCATCAAAAACTCAGTTCACTCCCGTTTTGAATTATCAGAATCTTCATGGCTATATAGATGGCACATAACTTCCTCCTTCTAAAAACATTGCTTCTCCTACAGATCTCAATATTCAGGTTCCTAATCCTAATTATGAAGCATGGTTCAAAAAGGATCAAATGCTTCAATCTTGGCTTCTTTCTTCACTATCTGAACAAGTCTTTCCCCTTATTATTGGTATTGATTCTTTCTTTACTGTATGGATTAGCTTGCCAAATGCTTTTGGTTCTATCTCTCAAAATTGCAGCTTCATATCGAGTTGCAAGAGTTAAAAAAATATGGTATTTTTGTATCTCAATATCTACTAACACTACAAAAAAAAGTGATAAAAGGGGACGATAATTGGGAACAATGAATATTATTTGTCTCCAAAAGTCATAATCCATTGTGATTAGGAGACAATTTTAAAAATTGTCCTTTTTTTATGATAACAAGACACAAAGGGACAATTTGAGTTTATTATGATGTCTTGCTCATATTTCAATTAAACTTAGGGGACAATTTTAATTTAAGAAGGAATTTTAATAATTTATTTCTTTTAAACAATAGGGTTTTGCAATAAATATTGTTGGGTTCTAACTGATCCCGAGTGGGGCTCGCGGAAAAATACCAGTGGTAAAAGTAAAATAAAATTACTATTACCACATATACCTCCAATAATTAAATATTGAATATTGATGATCGAATCCACCAGAAATAATCATATTTACTCCATTCATCATAGAATATTAGAAATATTGATGTATCCAACATCAGCGTCAATCACCATTCCCAGAAATAGATATGCCCACGATAAAAAAATTAAATAATTAATCATCAGGTGAAATAACCACGATGACAAAATAAGACAACTATAAGATTAAGTGGGTTCAACGAAGCAGTTAACTGTTAGTGGGCTTACGTGCAGAGACAAAACTGCCGAATAATTTCTTCTACTAAAAATCAGTACGGTAACAAAAGGAGATTGACAAAAATAGGTGTGCACGTCTACAGCTGTATTTAAATAAAGACCCCTAAAAATTACAATCTCCTTCAACTATTTTTCATTCGTTTCCCCATTTAGAATACCCTTTCCTAAAAGTTCTATAATCGTTTGTTTTATGTTCTTGTATTTTGTAGCGTTTTGAAGTGGAACAATGCCTTCTTCTCGCTATAAATGAAGGTAAGAATGGGGACGCCACGTGGTACGCGTTAAGGTCACCGGCTCCTAGACTTTTCCTTTTTTTTCCGTTTTTTTTTTTTTGTTTAGGCATACCATGTCCTCTTGGCACTGCCACCGAAAAGCAATAAACTGTGTTTATTTTTTTTCCCTCATTCAATACGTGTGGTGGGTCCCACTACAGTTTTTGAATAATCTCGGTTCATTCGTCTTTTTTTGTTTTTTTTCACTAATGCTGTGTTAGGGTCCCTCACCATGTTGGAAAGTAGTACACTGACAAGGTATGACCTACACAAAGAGTCAATATCTCCCCCTCGAGCAGCCAGACTTACCATGGTGGGAACTCCCCATCCATACCTTTAAGACTTTGACACATAACTCGAACTCTCATCGAAACGACCTTTGTTTAATATATTGCAACGCATTTCCTGTCCGTAGAAGTGGATCTTTATGCAACTGAAACTGCTTCTCTCTTCAAATGGCAAGTCTTGAGCAATGATATCTTACTCAGATAGGATGACTCGGTACACCAAACACATAAATGCCGTCATTCCAGTGCAGATCGATCATGGCACCAACGTACGTTTGGACCAGCATGAGTAAGCGTATGTATTGCTTTGCTCAACGTCTAACTACACTTTGACTATCATCAATAAACTATATATTCTTCATGTTGGGCACAGCCCAATTCTTGAAAGAATCGCTTTAAACCAAGCATTTCCTTTCCTGCTTCCGTTGCTGCCAACGTAACTCTCTCAGTCGTTGATAACGAAACAAGCACTTTCGAGATATATCTTTGTAACTGTACTTGAGACTTTGCAGATTATATGATGTAGAAATGAGTGCTCACTCCGTCTCTGAAGGATACAAATAGCTAAG